GGAAATGAGCAGAACTCCTATGTAACGAAAGGCGTTCGTTTGAATATAGTGAAGCAAGTTTTATAGAACTCCATCCAGTCTTGTTCCGGAGTTGATTTGTGTGTCCATCTAGCGGAGAACAATGGCGTCTTATTTGAAGGATATACATTGATGTGTCGCCTTATTCTGCGGCCACCATTGTAATGCGTCTCATTCTGAATGAATCAGCGTTGCAGTGCTAGATTACAAGCCACAGGATGATACGAAAGCAGAGTTTTTGAAAGAGGGTGATACATACGAAACTAGGCCTACGTCTTATAGATGGTTTAAGCAGAGTAATATGAAAACATCTTTAAAGTGAAGCTGATGAGTTTTACAGATTCTGGTATCGCACAAGATTGTATGCCTGGCTCTTAGAGTTTCGATAAATCTAGTTTATGAACTTAATTACGTTTTCAGATGATAACGAATTTAAATGTCATAAAGAATATGGATACTGTGTGATGTTATCATTTTACAAAAGATCAAGGCAAATTCATAGAATTATCTTCGTTTGTAATCAGAGCGCATTATCTCAATTTCATCAGCTTTAAAAAGGAAGTATTTTGCCAGTTGGTTATTCTTGCAAAAAAGGGTTCGTTTATCCACAAATGACCGTGTGGTTTGTAATTGTCTTATTCTGCAGTAGGCCTATTGTTGTTCAGTGTATGGAAATTAAATGACATGGAGTTGAAAATCGAATCTCGTTAGTAAGTATGAATCGATATGGAAGTCGATATGGTCTTATTAGCTGCTAGGAGTGTTTTATTACTAAGAGCAGGTTGACGTCAGCGCCAACATTGTTAACTTTGTTATTTATTGTAACGTAGAACAACTGTTCTGCATTTGATTTGAATTGAAATTTGGAACGTGACTTGCACGGAACGGACTCAATCTGTGTGTTCTGTGGCGTCTGGAGCCCCTAACGACGTGTCAAGCCGTGGGGTCCTCCGTCAGGGTTACACAAAGTGCTGACATCTGTGTTTGCTCTCTCCAATGTCGTATAGTGTTCTGGCTCACAGCAGTCATCATCATACCTTGTAATGGTGTATGCATCTTACCCCACATTTAGAAAAGACAGTACGGCTTGTTAACCCTAGGCCAGGTTGCCAACCGGACACCTTTTTTGCTTTCGGAAGGGTATTTGAGTGCCAGCGGGAATTTTAGAATATCCGTAAAGAATTTTAAATGTTTAAGTTTCTAATTTCTCGACAATTAGTACCACTCTCAGTGATGTTTTAATTTGACCAGATGGTACACCAGATGCGAAAACACAATCGAAAAACAATTATTTCAGTGTTTGGGTAAATTCATTCAGTGCTCGCTGTAAACTACAAGCTCCTCCTACTTGTCCATCATAATCATCTTGTGCCATGGGTTTTACTTTTGGAGATGCCATCCATACAAAGTCGAATTTTCTTTTATTTCTTTTTCACGTTGAACTATAATGCAGTTAAGTTCATTCTGTGAGACCAGCTGAAAGGTAGTTTTTGGCTATTTGTGGACTAACCAAACAATTGGATAATAATAAACAATAATAATACAACATTAATAATAATAATTGGAAAATAAGTTAAATTTCTTTAATTGAATTTTAATGAGAATTAAAAAAATGTAAGCTGCTCACTTATATTTTGCTGAATACAATTCTTATCTATTACTGTCGTTCCTAAATGGGCCTGTTTGAACTTTGTCTCGTTCTAATTCATTCACATGTGTTTATGATTGTTTGTTACAGTTACAGATAGCGTTTGAGTAATGGCCACGATCTTCAGTAGCAGTTAAATAATCTTGCATTAGTTCTGGTCAAATAGGACAATGTTATCTTACAATGGACTATACCAGGGGTCACCAACCGTATGCCCGTGGGCACCAAGTTTCTCGCGGAAGTGTTGTATTTGTGAAAGGGGTAAACATGTGAAAAAATGTCTAACTGTGTAATATAGGCCCATTAATTGTTCCTCAGTATAAAAGTAGTGTTTTAAATGATCATATTTGTTGGGGGGACGTGTTAAATTAAAATATTATTTTACTAGTTCTTATCCAAAAAGGATTTGCGATCACCAGACTAGTGCAATGATATGAAAGAAACACCTGTTCTTATCATAACAGCCAAATGTTGGGTTATAATATGTTCTGCTACGCCATCACAGTCCCGAACAAAACATTCTGATATGTGACGCCTGATCGCCACCTTTCTAGTAGGAGAACACAGAACTTCTAACCTATTTTCCATCCAAAAATGATTTCTTTTGGGGGAAATAGATTTGAGCAGACGGAAATTTTGTGAATCGAATTTGCATTTCATCAATTCAAACTGCTGCTTCAAATTCGTACGTTGTCTGCTATTTCCGAATGACAAAAAATATACATATGAGATCTGCCGGATTGACACTTTGTATTGCTCCGCGTTTGGAAGGGAAACATTGGGTGGTCTTTGGCTCTTGGATGTCGCCTGTGACTACTGGGGAGCCAGAATGCTACCTGAATATAACGACTAGAGATTATGGTTGTTTCTGCAATGTTACACGGTTTCTCTGGTAGATACTGACCGACGTTTCAGAGGATCTAACCACCTCCAGTAATATCGCGATAGTGCTGCAACCCCGTCTTACTCTTCGCCGTGAGAACCTTACATCTCACCTGGATTAGTCTGAAAAGATTGGTTATAGTCAGTTCTATCCAGTGTTTAAATTTGTGTTTTTAGGATGAATAAGCTTACCGGCACAGCTAAACTTAGAATATGCATTTCTTTAATTAATCTGACAAACGTAATTAATTCTCCTCTGTGGATAAGGCGCCGTCAGACTGGATGCGTTATTACCCACCCACTCGGCTCTCATCACTTATTCTTCCCTCCCTTCTGCTATAACATGCTAATACGCGGACAGAGCAGAAGAGATATTTCACACGGAAATAGCCCCCTGGAGAGGTCAAGTCCATTACTTCGCGATCAAAATCCGATCGTTCTCCCCCTCCCACGCTGTGCGACGTCGGGGCGAATATGAAGGACGTCTAATATCCTATTTTGTCGCCATAAATATCCTCAGCAACTATATATAGCGTTTCCGAGCAACCCAACTGCGTAGAAACCACTGAAGGAAAGGAGGATTTTTTTTATACTTATTTAGAGCTGTGTTTAGTCTGCTGAATCCAGTCCACATCGACCAAACTGCAGGTGTACCTATGTGCTCCATTTTAGTATTATCTCTCATAGATTTCTATAATAGCCTGTTTTAGGCTTTCTAACGAAGAAAAATACATATTTATTTTCTACTCGTTATGTGTTACACCTCATGATCCATGATTTTATCACCAATTTGCCTTTTGTTTGCTGAAAATTTTAAATTAGGAAATTGCTCAGGAGGCGATCTTGCTTTCTTACTTCCTGTCTGTTAGGTTCAAATATTGTCTTCAACATTTTGTTCTCAACACCTAAATTTGAGTTATTCCTTTCGGGCAAGAGAGAAAGCTTTACGTCGATGGAAACAAGAGAGAACAAAATTATATTAAAATATTTCTTTTCGTTTTTAGAGTTTAAACGCGAAGATAAAAAGGATATTGAAATCGTAGGATTTGAGGTTCTCTCAGTACTAAGTTAGCTGTGTTCTGGGTTGTACTGCCGTGTAGTCTACACTGACGATGGAGGCAGGAAGAACCCCGGAAACGCTAGTAGTCTTCTTCCATAACACACAGCGCCAGAACCCAGAAGACAGACAACTTGGTGCTGGACTCTATTGCAGCAAACATTTCTCGAAATAAATGCACGCTGAATATTCTCGATAAAACTTTGTTGCTGTAAAAAGTAAGACTGTCCCGCTACACTCCATAGAATTGCTTGTGGGGGGGGGGGGAAGTACAGCTTTTAATTATTCTTGACTTCGAGGTGATGGGGATGAATGGTGAGCGTCACGGCCCGGCGGTGCATCACCCCCGGGGAAAGGGGTCGCGATGTTCGTTGGATGGAAGCCGGTCTTGACCCAGAGGCTAGAAGAAAAATCCATTATCCCTAATTTTGATAACGCAGTTCCTAAATTTTGTGATACGAGTATTTTTAATTTTTTTCTACATTTATTTCTGGACCAACTGCTTCACAGTTTTCTAATAGACGTTTTGAATTTCCTTTACAGCAGACACATATTTTTATATTTCCGCCCAGTAAATTAACATGGGCACAGAGGCATACGAACAAGTGGTTTGAAACTCACTTGTAGAGTAATGCTTGATGTGATTTCACTCGTAGTGCCAGAAGGTTTTGCCCCGAGTTTCATGGCGGTTCCCTCTTGACAATTCCGTGCTGCCGCTTAGTATTATTGCGCAGCAGGGGATCCAAAGCTGACACGGGCCGCCCATTAACCGCGGCCCCTCAGTGGCGACCCCATACCACAGCGTTGCCCAGCCAGAGATATTCAATTCATTCATACAGCATCTTGCTTCCCGTCGGACAACAGTGGCATAAGCAGACACTCGCTTCTGCTCTAGTGAAGACAACGAACGGAAATTGAAATAGTAGTCATGCTGGAACCCAGAAGTAACTGAAGCGGTTAGATCAGATTGGCGCTGTTACGACGATAGAGGATAGTTCCGGCTTTATTCTCACTGCCCAGGTACTGTACGTACTAAGCATAATTAAACACACATTTAGTGCACACTCAGATCAAAACAGTTCTGTTAGTACATGTCTCTAGCTCGTATTCTACAGAGCGTAATTAAACGCGTTGCGTTTGGTGAGGCTGTTATGTTTGCCGGGCATAAAACTGATAATTTTAGAAATTAATAGCATTAATATTGAAAAATGTAAAAATTATGCTCTAACTAGTGTAGTATGAATGCTTTTATAGAAAGCCATTATCGCGAAGTATTGTGTTTATGTGTGCATGTTCGCCTGTGGCTTGATAACCGACAAATTACTTTACACGAAACTTGGAATGCTCATTCCTTGAAACCTGAAAGAGTTTTTATGGAGGTCAGAACTCCGAAGGCATCTTGAGTTCTTGTCATGATGAGGGTGGCTCCTGTAGCTCGGAAACTAAAAGATGGAAGAACATCTTCCCGTAATCTTGAAACTATTCTCGGCTTCAGAAGCTGCGATGGTAATACATTTCAGATTGTTAGTAAATCTCAATGTATATCCCTTAATATTCATTGCTTCATTACGAGACGCGAAATTGATGAAGCCTGAAACAGCCCATTTAAGTTGCGCCGTTAAAAGTTGGAAGCCCTGCGGGAGGGAAGCTGAGATGTAATTGACACGTCCGTTCAATTTATGTCGTGCTTTGATTGTACTGAATCGTGCTTTATTATTGATGATGCATGGTCGCCCGCAGCGCGTCTGTGTGTTATGTCAGAAACTAAACGCTGACGTCACGTGGTTTCTAGTTTATAATGAATCACGTATCAATAGCATATTAATGCCCTCGGCCCGGGGATGGGGGTTGCAAGGCCTGTCTTTCCATCACTGATGTTTCAGAGCCTGTGTGAATGGGTAGTTACGGTAGTAATATTTCCGAAATTGATTCACAGTAATAGTGACTGAAAGGAGCAGTGTCCTCTTTTGAACAGTTTGTGAACTCTGCTTGTGTCCATCGGGTTAACCCTACGTTCTGTGGTTATGCTACAGACATTAGTAATTTCATCCGTAATTGAGCGATTTTGGTGCAAGCAAATAGATTTCTATTAGGTTCGATCCTGGATCATCTACTCGTACGATTAACGATGCTAAACCATTAAATAACATTTAATTTATTCTAGAATTCGAGACTTCACAGTACTTGACGTTAACACTAAAAACAATATTTGTAGACTTGAATCCGTACACTACAACAGTTGGCTTTCACACAGCCCCGTGTATTATTTAATGTCTTCGAATTCATTTTAGTTTGTGATAAGAAAGACTGATACAACTCGTTTTTATTTTGGAAATTCTTCGAAGATTCCTCTTATATCTGGGCTGGTCATGATTTGTTAGCTCACTTTGCCGTATCAGGCTCAATATGTCTGTTCTTGCAACACCTCCTGGATTTTTATCGAGAATTCCTGTAAGTACGTATTCTTTAATAGCACATAAAATATTACGATCTTAGAGAGATTGTCGATCTTATAATTTTAAATAGCTAATGCTTTTTATGGTTTGTTTAATCTGCATTAGGAGCTTATTAAAAACTAATTATGGCGCTACTTTTCCAACAGGTTCCGTGTTGTAACTATAACCGGAGGAATAACACTGAAGACTTCTCAATGTGTTTTAAAGTTCATTAAACAAGACTTTAATTAGTTTCGTTAAGGAGTGGCCCTTTTCTTTGAAAACAGAAAGACGAACGCAAGTAATTTTTCTATTCTAATTTTATCAATTAATTATGTTCCTTTTTAATTCTTCATACCCCTTTTTATATCCTGTTGTACGTTGTTTACTGTCTCTTTATTCTTTTGTTTTTCTTCGTCGTTCCTTTTGGTGTGCTTAATGTAGTCGCCCATCATACAGCAAAAGTGGCATAAAAACCAAAAACAGCTCTTAAATACAGTTATAAATACATTTAATTTCGCTGCTTTATTTGTTTTGTAGAAATGATATTTGAACTTTTGAAATAAATTCTTTAAAGCAAACCACTGTTCTTTAGTAAGGACATCGGTCAGAACTTTCGAAAACAACTTTTTCCGGCATACCTACTGGAAGTTAATATTAATAGAGACTGTTTATGTTCTCCATTACTGATCAATTTATTCCAAGGTCAGTTAATAAAGTTCTATTATGTACTGACATAACGTGAACTTCTAAAGATAATTATGCGTGATGAATCGGTAGGTACAGGGAAGTAGCAGCCGTGTTCACAAGAAACCTCCTCTGCACTTTATCCTGAACTATATTATGAGAAGGATTTTTCCCATCCCATTAGAACACATCATTCCAGCTTGTTCACGAAGTTTGAATTGTAAATTTTCTATTCTCTCTTGATATCAGTATTTTATTATTTTTAGAACTGCTTTATTAAGGCATCAGGGACATCTAAATTGTTGGTAAAATTCAATCAGACTACACGGCGCTACAATCCGGAGGATAGCCATTTTCTTACTAGCCTCCATGAGAACTTAAAATCCTGCTGCGTAAAATGCCCCAAATCGTATCAGCAAATGTAGAGTCTAATATTTCATAATTTTATTTTACATATAATACTTCCAATGTCTAATGTGATTACTTAAACTTTGCACGCGATGTAATTCGGAAACAGTAGTCCCTGTAATTTTGATTCATGTAAGGGGTGATGAAATAATATTCCCAAATAATGCTTATATTTGTTACAGGAATATTATAAAACTTGAAGGTCTATAACATAATGCTTGATCGTGAAGCAGCTGTTCCTCTCGGAATATCCAATTGGTATGCTAGCTCCTCTGTTTTTGTTTCACTATTTCCTTCGCCACATTCGACTGCGTTATCTTCTCAGTTCCTTATGAAAGCTAAAACAACACTTCTTTTTAAAGGAAATATTGGCTCCAATTAAGTGTGAAAAATTTGAACGCCGTTAAAATTTAATGTTCTCCGACCATAATTTACTAATAAAGGCCCTTTCCCAGCGATCTCAGAAGACCCTAGGTTTAATCTAAGCTTGTGAATAAGATAGATCGTTTTGCACGTGTACGAGAAGTTACGGACAGTGCTGTGTGTCTGTCTGCCGCCGTCTGAACCGATTTCCCTTGGGCTTCAGCTTCACAGTTTTTACAGACGTGAACAATGTGATCTACTGGAATCAAAAGGTTTTCAGTGTGTTTTGCTTGCGAGGATTTATCAAGAGGCATTAGTGCAATGTCATTCTATTGAATTATGCAAAATTATTTATGCGTCGTCTGCTTCATGAGTTATATTTGATGCACTTAATACTTCAGGATTTGATTTTTCTCTTATCTTCAAGTGATCACTTGTCTATACCAAGATCCCTCTTTTTTCGTGAAAAATATTAATATATAAATATATTTAACATAAATATTAGTGACCACGGTTCAGATCGTACACGAAACACAAGATATTCGAGCACTTGAAAGCACTGGAAGTCATAATTGATTTTCCCGACATGAAATTATTTTCACACACTTACGAAAATAACGTTACATCTTTTAAGGTGAATAATTAGAAACTTTTTAATGTTTAAGAACACTATTACACAGTATTCAAACAAGAAAATAATTTTTACGTACTCGGGAAATCGAGTAATAGATAAAGGGTAGTATTGAAATAGACTATAAATCAATAAAAGAAGAATTAATATGTTGGCTAGACTCGTTTGTCTCGTAATGGGACCCTCTAATGGGCTAAAGTAAACAAGGTATTGAACCTTCGAGTTCCATTAAAGGTAAATAATTTCTTTACCAACTCTGAGAGTATTAGCGCCTGAAGAAGACTCTAATCCATGGAGTTCGAAATAATAAAATAGGTTATATTATTTAAACTTCGTCTAGTTCTTCGGTCATAAACATTACTTACGCAAGTAATAGGATAAGGAATGATGATACTAAAAGAATCGATATTCGTTAAATTTCAATGTACTTACCTTTCACTAACATTTTCCCAAGTCTGTTCATGCTTTATAACGTCTGCTGTTGGAACATCATCTTTAAATAACAAAAAAAAATTAAATTTATCTTCGTAGGTTAAATGGGTTTTGAGCCTCTGTATGTCTAAACTTTACTGTGGTTACATCGGAAACCATGATGCATCCTTAATCTTTTACAATATTATATGGCCTAACCCCTAAAAGGCTGCAAGTAATTAGGAAAAAATAGTTCCGTCTCCTTTTTTTGTCCCTCAACCTCTTCCTATCTATATTTTGTTTTATCACCTTGTTCTCCTTCAAGTCTGTGATTACCAGAGCGTCTCGAATAGCCTCTGGCCCGTATAGCTGGCGTATAATACAGGGATACATCTTAATTTACTTCGCACGCAACGCAGTCATTTGTCAGATTCCATAATAGAAACGTATCGCGCATCCTCATAACCTCCGCTTCTCTTTTTTTCCTCTCGCTCTCGCACTGTTCGTGTGAATGAGAGAGGTGGAAGGTGGAAAGCGGCCTGTGAGGCTTTGCAGTAAAGATGATGAAGTGGGATGAGGAGCATAGCCATCAACAATAATGAAAGAAGGTTAACGTTGTCTTTAGCAGATCTTTGTAAATTCGTATCAAGTAGAAAGGCAAATTAGGCGAGAAGTTAGCGCGCGTGTTCCAGGCAGTACTAAGAAATAATCACCATTATCACCAGCAATTCTTTATACACTTAGGAATATTTCGACTGGCGAAGCACTCTCGTTCACAGAATGCGAACAGAGGCTTTCTGCAAATTGTTTTAATAATGTGACAGATTTGATATTCGTCTTCAGAGAAGTCGCGACGTGTGTTCATAATCGTTAAATCTTTAAAACATAACTTTGTTGCATGATTTAAGGTTTTTACAGCGGTGAGTATGAAGATTTTTGTCTTCTGGTAGATGTTTACCAACGTTTCAGAGGCCATACTGCTGCCTCCGTCATCAGAGCGTCGAATCGCCCTGATGACGGAGGCTCAACAACCCAGAAGACAGAAATCTTCATATTCACGGCTGCAAAAACCTCAAATCTCACTC